CCGGAATGTGATCGGGGAAGAAGTCAAACTGGTCAATGAAGGCCATCCACCGGGCAATGGTGCTGTTGACTGTGTCCTGGGTCTTGTAAAAGACCAACGGATTGTTGTCCGTTACCCATCGGAACTGCCGTCTACCAAGAAGGAAATGCCGCCAGCGCTTGAGTGCGTGTACGAAGGCCAATAATTCCTTCTTCCTCGCGTCATCAATAGAGTGCACGGCGGGCACCTTCTTGCTGAAATACTCGACCGGGTGCCAGTCCACGCCATCGTGTTGCTCTAGGACAGCGCCAATACCATAGCCGGACGCATCAGTAGTGATGCGTGTGGGCAATAGCGGGTCGTAGATTCGCAAGACCTCCGCTGACAAAAGTGCAGCTTTGAGAGCCAAGAAAGATTCCTGCGCATCCTCGTCGAAGTCAAACGACCGATCCTCGCATTGAAGCTTGGTCAAGTGGGCCGCGATCTTCGAATAGCCCTTGATGAAGCGCTGATAGTAGCCGGCAAGACCAAGAAACAAACGGACATCCGTGACGTTACGCGGCTCCGGCCACTCCTGGATGGCTTGAATTTTCTCCGATAGCGGGCTGATGCCCTCTAGTGTGACAAAATGGCCCAAGTACTCAAGCTCTTGCCGGACAAACTTGCACTTGTCATGGTTGGCTTGGTACTTGGCACGGCGGAGCGTCTCCAACACACGTCGAAGATGCTCAAGATGGTCCTCCAGAGTCCGGCTGTAGACGAGAATGTCGTCTAGGTAGACCAACACGAACTGATCCAACATAGCATGGAACTCGTGGGTCATGGCCGCCTGGAAGGTTGCCGGGGCATTGGTGAGGCCAAAAGGCATGACCACCCACTCAAAATGCCCATACCACGTCTTGAATGCGGTCTTGTAGCAATCATTCGGGCTTATCGAAATCTGATGATACCCCGACTTCAAGTCCAACTTGGAAAAAAACTTAGCACCGCCCAGTCGCTCAAGAAGATCGTCGATACGAGGAAGAGGCCCCGCATTTTTCACAGTTTGCGCGTTGAGCTTGCGGTAGTCGATGCACAGACGTAGATCCTTGTTCTTCTTCCTTACGAAGAGAACTGGTGCTCCATATGGGGAGCTGCTAGGGCGGATCCAGCCCTTGGCCAACCAGTCGTCGAGTTGTGCGCGAAGGACCTCCAGTTCCTCCTCGCTCATCCGATAGATGCAACCTTTCGGCGGCACGGCACCGGCCTCAAGAATGATCTCGTGACAGATCGACCGATCCGGCACCACACCGGTAGGTGACTCGAAGATGTCGGCGAACTCATCAAGCAGCCGTACCACGCGAGGGTCGGAAGACAAGTCCGATGGTGAAGAGTCAGCTACCGCGCTAGTCCGCAAGAAACATAGGCCTATCTCTTCAGGTTGCTCATATGCACATGTAGTTCGGAACGATTTGGCCGTCACGACTTGGCACCGGATCGAAGGGTGCGGAAGAGGAATAGTACATGGCACCTCGGCGCCGAAGGCGTCGCGAACGGTGAGAGTCCGCTGGTGAAAGTTGACCGTGTGATCTGCACTTGCAAGCCAAGGCATTCCCAGAATGATATCGAAGTCTGTGTCCAAGATGTCGAACGTGACCGGTTCGCATGCATGAGGTGCGAAGTACACCGGTACGGCCTCGATGTAACGGTCGAGAAGTTGCTGCGTCTTTCCATCCGCCAACTTGATCGCCGTCGGGTTTGCCTTCCTCCGAACCTGCGCGCCGAGGCCAGCCCTTTGCATAAAAGCTTGGCTCATGAAGTTGCGAGTCGCGCCGCTATCCAGCAAAGCGCTACAGGACACCTGCCCAACTTGGATGCGGACATACATCAGCGGTGCATTATTGTCGCCGTACCGCTGCGTGCGAAAGTCGCGGGCCACCTTGGTAACATATGCCAAGATGTCCCCCACCGCGACCTCGTCATCCGTCGGCGAAGTTGGTGGTGCATAAAAGGACAAGTACTTGTGAAGATGGGCACAGAGTGCTGCGCATTGCGGTCCCGGTAAGCGGCCCGTGGTCGGGAGAGGAAGCCATGCGAAATCCCCAGACTTGAGCGGGTCCAATTCCTCTATGTTGAACCCGCGCGCCGAATCCCGTGAAGAATCACTTGAAGACGAAGAAGAACCGTTGCCGGACGGAGAAGATGCCGCACACACGTCTTGTCCTTGAGCAAAAGATCCCAGCGCCGGAACGAGCCGGGCAGCATAGTCCTCAAAAGAATAGAGAAGAGGACTGTCGACTTCCGCATGCGCCCCGGAATGAAGGCCGGTCACTCGCGAAGAAACCGGTTCCGAAGGCGTCGAGAGTGCCGTCGACTCACTCTCGGCGGCGCTCAGTTTCCCTGCTTGCCCTTCCCCTTGGTAGGGCAGCCCGCTGTCTCGTGGCAGTCGCTGTTGCACCACAGACAGTAACGGTACTTCGTGCGTTACTTGTAAGCTTGCTCCGAAAGACCGTAGGGGGTCCAGGGCCCCTGAGCTGCTGCGCCGGGCCCGGGGTTTGATGTGGTGTTTGTCTTCGATTTGCCGCGTCCTCGGCCTCGGCCGGGGCGGCCACCATCCCGGGCAGCTGCGAGTCTGTCTCCTTCATTGGCAAACTCCGCCTCGCTAGATTGGTTGCTTGGCGATGCTGCCGCAACCACGGCCACCTTGGGCTGATGCTGGTCCTTGCTCGGGCCTGCCGCAGCACGAGTGAGGTTCTTCGCCTCCTTGTTCGTGATGATAATCTGTGCGGCCTTATCGAACAGTTGCGCCGTCGTTGTCAGTTTGTCCTCGACATGCGTCAAGGCATTGCTCAACGTCGGGCACGACCTCGAAATGAAGTAGTGCTTGATAGCTTTGAAGCCCATCGAGAGACCTGGAACGGATGTCAAGCGTTGGTACTCGGCAATCCAGTCGACGCTTGGCAGCGAGCCTTGCTCGAAGGTCATGAGCTTGTCCATGGCCTTGATCTCCGGCGGCTCCACTTGGAACCGCTTGTGCCACGCCGCCTTGAGGTCTTCCCAGCTGATCTTCGTGTGTAACTCGGCAGCGACCACCCCGTACAGGGACAAGAGATTGTCCAGCCATGCCTGGCATGCGCCTCCCGACCGGGAGTATAAGTATGCGTGGTGCTTGCACTCGCTGACGAGGTGCAGCTGCAACGTGAGTTCAAACTTGCGGAACCACTAAACTGGATCCGTCTTTGTTGAATCGCAGAAGATCTCCTGACCGTCAAACTTGGGAGTTGACTCGCGCTGTCCCGAACTCGGGCTGGCGGTGGCAGCACAAACCCGCTGCTCCAATTGTTGAGTAGCGGTTTGTTGTAGTCGTGCGCCGTCCTTGAGTGTGCTGACGTCAGTCTCCAATGCGTCCAGGCGGTCTGATGTGTTGGAGGAGCTTGCCACAGGGGCGGCGGCTGGTCGTTGCTCCAGCTGCTGTACGCGGGTGCGAACACTCTTGACTTCGGCATCGAGGCTGTGAATGTCCTCCTGCTGCGCGATGCATGTTGCCAGGAGGTCCGTGAGATGGGAGAGGAGGAGGGCAATCTTGGTCTCGCTCTCCTCCATCTTCCCTGTCTCCGCCTCAGTTCGCCATTCCGCTGCCAATGTGAGTAATGCTTGCTCCCCGCTGAAAATCTTCTCACGCCGCTTCAATCGTTCTTCATCTGCAGCCTTCGCTGCTGCCTCGGCCTGCAGACGCTGCTGTTCAAGAGCTAGCAGTCGTGCCTGCTCGGGATCCTCCGCCTTCTTCTTCTCTGCGGCTGCTACTGCATCCGCCCGCTGCTTGGCTTCTATGATCAAAGCCAGCATGCGGTCCTGATATGCCTCCGCCGTTTCCCCCGGTTTCTGGTCCATGACGGCTGTTTGCGAGCGCGTCAGCATAAACAGGCCCGGGTGGTTGACGTGACACTCCTTGTTGACGTGACCTGCTGATGTGGTCGGCTGATGTGGTCTGCTGACGCGGTCTGCCGACGTGGCCCGCTGAGGGAATACCCGGAATGGATGAAGAAGATGAGATCAGAGATGGCAAACAACGTAGATAGGGAGGGTGAGTGGGGTAGATCGCCCAGATAAGGAGCCGCTAATCAAAACAGAAAAGGTTGAACTTTGCAAAAAAAATTATGAGGGGACGAAGAGAGAAAAAAAAATTGTTTGCAAGTTCAGCAAGCTCCCCCAATCCCTGAAGTACGAAATACAACTGAAAAAAAATTCGACTTCCAGACTGCAAATGATTACAAAAAAATTCGGATTTGCTTTAATGAGAGTATGCGCARCTTGGAAAGTAGTACTGCCAGAGAGATTTCCCGTACCGTTTTGAAAAAAAATGAACTTTGAAAAAAATATTCCGAATTTTTTTGAAGTACGAGAAACTGCAAAATCGAGATTTTCAAAAAGAGATATTCTGGATTTCCAACAGCGAAATTTCGACAAGACAACAGAAATTTCAGGAGTTGTGCTAGTGTGATTTTTCCACAATCAGAAATAACGGAAAAACGAAATCCAGAAAAAAAGAAAAATTTCGATTTTTGGCAGTTGGATCAAAATCGTGATTTTGAGGATTAACTAGTGTGCTCAACCAACCAATAAGTTAGTCGAGTCTTCTTCACCAACTAACTCCCCGTACACGTGTCAGATCTGGTAGTCTTGATTCACGTGCGGTGCTCTGGTACCAACTGTTACATGCCCAGTCGGGCACTGAGAGTTCAGCCAAGGATCCGCATCGTGATGAAAAGGACTGAATGGACAAGGGAATGCTAACGTAATATCAACAGACAGTGTACATCCCGATACATGAACAATGACATTTAATAGCACAGCGGAAGACTTGGAGATAAGTCTTGACCTGACCTGGACTGTTACGACATCCCATCATACATCACACATGTGAGAGGAAGGGAAGGGACCACATACATAGACGAAGGTCCCTCCTGCATACACGCACATGGGGAGATACCACGGATGAGAGATGGAGGGGGGAAGACAGGACGAAGATGGAGGCAAGGGAGAAGACTAAGATCGCAATAGCGAAGTTCAAAATAGTTCCTTGCCGAAGTCCAACCAAATGTCTGCCCAAAAATGTCGAACCAGATCCTGGGCCAATGCCCGTGACAACCCCTACCTGTAGCCCTGCAAGTAAACCACTCTCACTCTCGTAGGCTGCCGAAGCAGTGAAGTCAGATAGTGAGAGGGTAGGAGAGAGATGGTGGACTGAGAGGAGGAAGAGGAAGAATTCTCTCTTTCTCTTCTGGATGCCAGGTACTAACCGGTGATGGTGGCGCTGTGCTGCAGGTACCTCGCTGGCGAGCTGGAGCTATGGCGCCTCAGGTAAGTCACTCGGTGAGTGGCGCTCTGCTGCAGGTACCTCGAAGACGAAGCTGGAG